CACAGGCACTGCTGGGTGTGGGTGCTGCCTGAGACACGGCTGCGAACCCACAGTCTCATCACCGGGGTTGGGGCTTGCACCTCATCACCGTACTGTGAAGCAGCCAAGCGCGGGTGGGCAGGATGCACCCTGAGACCAGAGGCTGCTGGAGAGGATCTTGCCCCTGTGAACGCTCGCCACTGGGCAGGCGACAGTTGCCTCAGGCCCCAGTCAACCACCCCACGAGATCTGCTGCCAGCGCCTGCTCTCCCTCTCTGTCCCACCGGAGTGCCCTCTGCTCCTTCTGCTCTGTTCCCGTGTGGCCCCCCCGAGGCTGGCAGTGGCCTCCCTTCCCCAGTGGGCAGTGTGTCTCACTTCCAACACTTAAGCCACAGGTGGCACACATGCGACCATCAGCGGTCCACGCTGCTAGTAGGCCACTGACGCATGTGCTACCAGCAGCTCAAGCCAGTGGGAGCCTGTTACGCTGCTCCTGGAGGATTATTCCCTGAGATGAACCTGCCTGGCCCTTCATTCTGCCGGCCTGGGGCCGCCACACAGCCATTCTGTATGGCCTCCTTTTATCTGGAATCAAAACTATTTCCTCCACTGGGGTCTGGCTTGCTCTTGAGCTCACTGTCACTGAGAGCGGCAGAGGCTGCCATTTTGGACCCCCAGCAGAGCCCTGGAGGCTGTGTAAGATGTACTGGGCCCCTCTGGTACCTGGTGGCAAGAGCCCCAGCAGAGGCCGCCAGCATGCTGCAGCAACACCTGTCCTGCAGAGCCAAGGACCTGTGTGTGTGCTCCCGTGTGCATGCACCCACGGCCCCAGAGCCCAGATTCACGTCTCCAGGGAGAACTCAGCTGCCTGCAGAAAAGTCGCAGCCTCCCTCCTGCCCTCGGCCCTCCCGCCTAGGCTCCCTGCAGAGAAGGCCTTGTCCTGTAAGAGCACCTGTATTGGAGCTGGCTTGTGACAGCAACTTCTCACAGGCTGAGTTTGATTTCCAGTCATTTTAGTAGAGTTCTGCCGGTCTTGTTTTCGTAAGATGAAGCTGCTGACACTGTTGGAACAGAAAAGCCAACTCGCTTCCTTGACACACAGGTATTTATTACCTCTTCCAACAACAGCTTTAGGGCTGGGGACTGGCAGACAGACACCGAGGGCAGAGGGCCCAGACTCTTCCCATCTTCCACGCGGCTGCCCCACCATCAGGCTGCCCCTCGGGGCAGCAAGAAGGCTGCATCTCAGCCCAGACAACACCCAGCTGGCAAGTAGGACACATCCCTTGATTCCCTTTCGAGTGGGAAAATCTTTCCCAGACCATTCCCAACAGTGCTGCTCAGAATCCATTAGCTTGACTTTGTTTTAAGCCAGTTGGTGGACAGAAGAATCACTGGGGTCTCCAAAGTTAGCTGACCCGGCGCTTCCCAGGCCACGGCTGGACAGAGCAGCTGGAAGAGGCCAGGGTGCACCCTGCCATGGACAGCGGTCCAGGGAGGAGCCAGCAGCCTCCAGGGTTACAGACAGTGCAGCCTGAATCAACCGCAGGCAGAGGCTGGGCCTCTGGAGTCTGTGCAGAACACGAGACCAGCTGCTGGCGCAGCTGAAGAGGGCCAGGATGGAGACAGGAGGCCAGGCCTGCGGGCCTCCCCACAGCAACACAGCAGCTCCAGAGCGCAGTCTGACGGCACCGCTGGTCCAGGGGCCCAGAGACGACCAGACACAGAGGTGGGTGAGCAGAACCCCCTTCCGAGGCGCAGCCCTTTTGGAGAGAAGCACCACACTTCCCCATCAGTTCCAGTAGGTGTCGTGCGGTCCCCTGGGTTGTGTGTAGTTTGACACATGTGGTGCCCATGTTGTGATTCTTTGTATAAAATATCCTCTTCCACAACCTCCTTTGCTCAGGAGCCCTCTCAATAAACCTTTGCCGCTCTCAGCCTCCTGTCCCCAGACTCATTACTCAGTTTTGGAGGCATAAAGGTCGCTGACATCTAACATTGTCTCCTGTCTCAGTTTTTGCTGTGTGAGCAACACAGCCAACACTGTGTACCACGCGTGTGGGCTATCCAGCAGCTCTGGGAAGCCAGCACCACTACCTGGCCCCTGGCCGGGCCTGCCGGGCCCTCCTAAGGCTGCCCCGTGCATGCCATACGCTTATCTAAGTCTGGGGGAAGCCATCGGGCCTGGAAGACTTAAGAGGCACTCAGTGCTATGTCATGGTCCAAGGAAACAGGGAGAGGGCCACCTCCACAGGTTGACCGCGGGAGGCCCGGGGGCGTGCCATTCCCAGAGCCTGCGGAGTGGCGCGGGAACGGGTGCCAGGCCCCTGAGGAGCAGGCCAGGAAGCCCCTGGCCAGGCTGGGGGAGGGAGGAGGGCCCTCGTGACTCCTTGTCCCCAGGTGCAGCCATGTCCCCGTGGGAACAGAGCTAGGGAGAGGACAGAGGAGCCGCGCGGAGGGCTGGCCAACCAGGACGGCCGCCACCGGCCGCGCGCCCTTGCAGTCACAGCCCTTGATCGTGGCGCCCCGTGTCCAACCCGAATCGTGGCCAGCACCCTTTCTCTGGCACACCTGGGCAGAGGCCCGGGCGCTAAGGGGTGTCTCCAGCAACCGTGCACAAGGCAGGGTGCTGGCGTCCACCGCAAGCCGGGCGCGGGCTCCCGCGGAGGGGTCCCCAGGACGCGTCCCTAGGCCCCGCAGCCCCGAGGCGGAGCCCCGGGAAGCGGGGAGCGCAGGTGCGCTCCGGCGGCCACCTGAGGATCGCGCCGGGTCCCAGCGCCCGCGCCGCGCAGAGGGGCGGCTCGGAGCCGAGGAGCCGCGGGGAG